ACAATAAGAAGATGGCAACGGCCAGGAACGTAACGGCCACAGAACAAAAGGGACAAATAGCCCACAGCCTTCGGCTCCTCGTCATAACCCTTGATGATAACTCTCTACAAGCGATCTGCGCACAAGGGTTCTCCCACAGGGTTACCTTGTCCAGAAAATCGCCATGAGAGTTGGATTCAGGGGGACTACGGAGATGCCGCTTCGGCCAGGGACTCAAGCAACTCCTTCACCCCTCGCACTCCTCGGCCTGAAGCAGTGGGGGACTGGGGGACTACACCGGCCTCAATGAAACAAAGAGTATAAACAAGGTAACCACAAAACATGGCCACATCATCCACACAGCACAACGGAACCTCATCGGCCAAAGGCCCAAAACGTCATTAGCGACGGCCAACAAGCCACTAGAGGCAAGGACACTCATCGTCCTCCGCCAACAATTAATCTTGACGGGCCCTTCGGCCAAGAACACGAAGGCCAACCAGCAACGGCCAAAAGGAGTGCGCGAGCACCCTCATCGGCCACCCAAAGGAAATGACGCCATCGTCCTCAAAGCAAGGAACAACCTCACCGGCCCAAACATAAACTTCAACCACCAACGTCCAGGAAACGGAAAGCGCGCCTTCAACGGCCGACATCGGAACAAGACACTCATCGTCCTCAAACGAACACGTCAAGGAAACAACGGCCTCCCCGCCCACAGCGAGGAGCAGGTAACGGCCAAAGCACATAACAGGATCACCAAAATGGAAACAACGCCAATACCGCAACGGCTAACGGCCTGGAAATGCCCGCGTCGGCCAAAAGCAACAAAGCACAGAAATCTACTCTCCTTCACTTCGTCTACGTCTCAGCTTAGAGAGTGGGGGACTCCTGATGGAGTATATGGGTCTGAGCCCCAGGACCCACATACTCGGAAGAACAGAGCACAAGACAACAGAGTGGCGCCCTCGTCGGCCAAGACGCCCCCGTCGGCCGAAAAGGGGCCAACTCAGATTACGGTCCTGAGTTTAAGGGACTCGGGTGCCCTCGTCGGCCGCGCCCTCGTCGGCCGTGCCCTCGTCGGCCACGCCCTCGTCGGCCACGAAGACCTCCCAGAATCGGATTCTATACTTACTCATTTGTACAGCCCATTAGAGGCTTTGTATTCGGCCCAGTAGCGGTCCAGTTGTAAATGGGCCTCCCAAGCCCAAGGCTTGGGAGCCCAACCCTAATTTTCTCTATAAATACTCCCCTTGGGAGTAGTTATAGGGGTTACGAAATCATTCTATTGAAGCATATTATTGCACTTCTCTCTCTAGCTCTCACCTCTCTCTAGATATACTCTATCACATACATACATACATACATACATACATACATACATACATACATACATACATACATACATACATACATACATACATACATACATACATACATACATACATACATACATACATACATACATACATACATACATACATACATACATACATACATACATACATACATACATACATACATACATACATACATACATACATACATACATACATACATACATACATACATACATACATACATACATACATACATACATACATACATACATACATACATACATACATACATACATACATACATACATACATACATACATACATACATACATACATACATACATACATACATACATACATACATACATACATACATACATACATACATACATACATACATACATACATACATACATACATACATACATACATACATACATACATACATACATACATACATACATACATACATACATACATACATACATACATACATACATACATACATACATACATACATACATACATACATACATACATACATACATACATACATACATACATACACACACACACACATACATACATTAACATAAACACATGTGTGTGTATACACACACACATACATATATAGATTTGGTATCACATGCAAACTCTCATTAACGTAGGAACTGCGAACTCATCCTATCCGCTCATCTTCCTTGTCTGACAGATCAATTTGCTCAATAAGCAAAGGGTGTTTAAGTAACACGATACATTCAGTTAACTTTGTAACCACTTGCTAATTAAGTTGTGCGCACGTTGAACAATTATCTTTTAAATTTTTGCTCATAACATATAATCAACCGCAAATTAAGTTGTTTGAATCTGTCGTTGCACAGTTCTTTTGAAGAGCGCCACTCTACCAACATAAAAAACATGCATATTTACCAATGTTAACATCGTGTCATGACCTACATGATTTTAAAAAATTAATTGTCATGTTACATTACCATTATGAATAACATTGGCCCAGTGAATCTCTTCTGGTTCTTCTGATCCCATGCTTCTTTATTCTTAATCAAACTAGTCATTACAAACTCACACCAATTTAGTTCTCGAATTCCCTTGACATCTTATGATGGTTCAAATTACTAACCCCGTCCCATTTTATGTGTCTCATCTGATTTTGGCACAATATTTAATAAAATGGTTGCAAAGGTAAAAGTTGTGGTTGAGATCTGAGTATAATAAAGTGAAATATTGTGAACCACATATTTCTTTCCAAAAATGGAAATGTGACACTTATTTTGGTAAAACCCAAAAAGGAAAGTAAGACAGGTAAACTGGGACGGAGGGAGTACGTTTTTGCATTTGCCCTGTACAGAAGATCTCTATTTCCTTGACGAGTCTCAATGTTGGCGAAGTAGCAAGAACGTATCTCTGTGCGGATAGTGTGTAAAGTAGACTCCACGACCGATCTTATGACAGAATTTCATACACCTGGATTCCTAAATAGCATAAAATTATCAGGAGTGCCCAAAATCACGTGTTCAGCTTGCTCCTCGGTCCGATTTCTTTAACAAAGATTTTGTGTTGTAGCTAGGGACAATGTACTAATATTGTGCACTTTCCAAATATAACTGAACTGGTGGGAAACAAAGAGTGGATGCAAAGGAGTTTCTTGGTACTGGATGGTTCGCTCACTCTTTACTATGGATATAATGTCATTGTCACTTGATGTAAAAATTGAACATAAGCTATATGACTAAAGTTACTACCGTAGTCACAATACTTAAGAGGTCACATTTTCATAAATAATCTTTATTTTAGTCGTAATTATGTAATTACTTCAACAACAAAATGCATAAATACCTTAATGTGTCCTCCGCGTGGTAGATGTCCTATTTGAATATTTTCGCATAAATTTATATTTAAGCATAGTTTAAGAATGACATAACCTATTTGCACCCCCCTGATTTGCATGTTTACATAGGCAATTCGTCTAACAAATGCAATTCGTATAAATGTAAAGTCATTGGTAAATCATAAATTACCAATGGAGATCCTATATTTGTAGTTGTTGAAAGCATATTTCTGAAATATGTTGAATCTGCAGGTGATATGAATTGTTTGCGCGACCGTGCAATTTTGGCACCGACACGACACTAGATGTGGTTGAAGCCGTTAATGACTATATGATGGCTCTTAATGTTGGTGAAGTTTCAAGGACTTATCTGAGTTCTGACAGTGTTTCAAAGGTTGATTCTACGACCAGTCTAATGGCAGAACTGCACACACCGGAGTTCTTGAATAGTATAAAATTATCAGGTGTACCGAATCATGAGTTAACGTTAAAGGTAGGGACCCCAGTGATGCTTTTGCGAAATATAGATCATTCAATGGGGTTGTGTAACGGGACTCGACTTATTCTAACGAGGCTCGGTGATCATGTTTTGGAGGGGAAGATTTTAACTGCTGTCAGTGCTGGACAAAAAGTATTAATTACTAGATTTCCTTGCCTTTCAAATTTCAAAAGGCGACAATATCGTATTATCACTTCATATGCTATGACTATAAATAAAAGTCAAGGTCAATCTTTGTCCGGTATTTACACACGGACAGTTGTATGTTGCAGTAATCAGTATCAAGGGTTACCCATCGTTGTAGTTTGAAAATTCTAATTGTTAATGAAGATGAAGGAACCACTGACAAGACTCAGAATGTTGTATTCAAAAAAAGTGTTCAACAATGTTTATGTTTACATGAAATGCATATTTACAATATTATGGTTTCTACGTATTTGTTGGATACTTTTTATCTTTTAAGTAATGGTTGGTGCTCTTTTTTAACCATAATATTATAAGTGTGTTTCGTTCATTGCTTTGATCTATATCAGTATTCCATGGAGACAGATGTTGTCATCAATTGATAGTGTAATTTGAATTAGTGAGCACGAATAAATTTGAAAGAAAAAATTTCCGACCGTGCATCGCACAGGTGAGTTTACTAGTTATGAATAACATTGGCCCCGTGAATCTCTTCTGCTTCTTCTGATCCCATGCTTCTTTATTCTTAATCAAACTAGTCATTACAAACTCACACCAATTTAGTTCTCGAATTCCCTTGATATCTTCCAAATTATTTATTACTTGACGGTTCACATACCCATCTGTTGAACTATCTATAAGTACAGAAATAAGTAATATCACAAAGTGCATGCAGAACCAAATGCCACCCTCCTTACACGCCAACATAGCTGCACATACATCATTTGGGGTAATTTGGTATTCATGCTTTGATAACATCTTTCGCCACTCCTCTTTTTTTGGATGAAATGTAAATATATATTAACACCCAAGAAAAAATATACATTAAAAGTTTAGATATCCTAAAACCTCCCCCACCCCTACATATGTAGGGGTTAGGAGAGGTTTTTATTCGATCTAATCCAAATCAAAAAGGGCCTAAGTATACAATACTAAATGCCCCAAAAACTCAAAAACTATATATACCTTACCACCTTCTGACACTGCACATTTATCTTTCCTGTTCTTTTTAACTATTAATTTATCGCCTCTAGGAAATCCTAGCACACATTGCACATCTTCTTCACCTATATATACCTTACCACCTTCTGGAAGTGTAAGGTTCGAGTTCCTTGGGTTGAAAGCCTGAAGGACAAAATAAGCCAACTTAGATGGCAATTCATGTATCCTAAGTTGCAACATACTTTCAAAACTGATCTTAACTACGTCTTCTTTTTGCCTCTCATTCAACTTTTTAAGTGCAAGTACAAACACGTGCAGAGATGACCTTGTGTTCAGTGTTTGGTATCCTTCTTTCAGCATTATTAACTTTCCCTTCCTCCTCTTTTTTACCCAAAGCTTTGTCTTCATCATTCTTCTGTACTTGTACGTCCTCAAAATCATCATCATTATTAGTTCTCCCTCCTACACTAACATCTTTAAAACTATCATTTCCTTCATCTCTATATTCTTCTTCTTCCTCTGTAAAGTGAATAGCTTCATCACTCGTACTACATGGCTTGTGTGGCCTCAAACTATGTCGTGTTTCTATCACTCCACCCTTATGTTTTCCCACATCACGCCTTTCAATGTTTTTGTTGGCAACACTTCTTACTAATTTCACCTTCCCCACCACCATGTGACCTTGAACACCAAAATCATAGTATTAAACACACATTTATTAAACATTATGTTTTATTTTTATAATAATTGTGCAAATCACACTTTACAACATTTAGCTCACAAGACTGGTTATGTATTACACAACAAACAATGTTTTACATTTTCACATTCACCTGCATTTCCCCTGCTCAGATTTGGTCCCTGTTGTTTGTATTTTGTATTTTATTTTTTCCGCAGATTTTCCATGCTTCTAACTTGGTTCCTCAACTTCTCAACACATGTTAAATGCTTACTACCCCCTGCATGTTACATCATTAATATAGTACTACTCATCACACCAAATCCCTTGAACAATAAACTGCATATCCACACTTTCATTAACAGGAAACCATTCACAAGTAAAAGAAAATTGTACACAACCCACATGTTCATCATATATTACCAAAACTTATCGATGCCATACAACTGCAGGCCTAGTGTTCACTGCGATTACTACTTGCACAATACATCATATAAGCTTCTAGTTCAAATATGGGTCACTACTGCACAAATATTTGTGTTGTCTACACCATTACTACTCGTATTTCTTATATTCTGCAATTAATCCGTATACCGGTTTCACCATTTACTTACACATTTTTTCCATATCGTGCACAGTAAATAGTTAAATACTATAACTAATGAACAACTCACACGGCAAACCAGTTGCTCTGGTAGTCCTAGAACATCATTTTTTTCTACAATGGCTAATTCAGCGATGCATGTCATTATTTCTTTTCAAATTAAACAATTTAGAATTCATATACGTTAGTTATTTAGCACACAATATATAACATACCTTTGTCCTCCGCCATTCTCTTGTTCTCCATTAATGCACCAGGTTGTCAACTTCCACTCTGGAAACTCCTGTTTTGGTCTTTTACAGAACTCATTTGCTCACTCTAAGTGCACCACAATTGCAACTTAGACTCCTGAACAGCACTTCCAATTTTCTGCTTCGGCATATATGCGAACATCAAACTCTTTCCTTGTCCGGATGAGTTTGTATTGGTAACTGCTAATTGTGCCTTTAATTTCGGCATTTTTGGGTAAGTGGGCGCCGAACTTCTCTCAAATCGGCAGAATTAAATTTATGTTCAATGACTTTGATACCCTTTTATATCTATTTTACCCGCTCGCCTCATTTAAAACGGTATTCATAGCGTGTTCTGGTGCATATCTCACTATCGTGCACATCGTGCTATCTCGTCGTTTATTTACGGAAATATGTGTCCCAGATTTGTTCCCATTTCTCGCAATAAGGGCGGTTCTCATTAGAACCAATCCCTACATATACATATATCTACATATATATGCATACATATATGTACATATATAAAGCGCAGTATGTATATGTATATATGTGTGTGTATGTATGTATGTATGTGTGTATGTTTGTATGTATATACGTATTAAAGATAACTGTATTTAATACGTAATAAATAAATTTTAAATTATAATTACATAATATTTAATTATAGTATTAATAGTATACTTTAACGGCTAAATCATAAATGGCTATCTACATAATATTTAATTAAATTATTAAATACAGTTATAATTATAATTATATTATATACTCCCAAATGGATATATAACCGTTTATGTGACATTTCGAAAATTTAAATGAAATAAAATAAATATTACATTTAATAAAATAAAATAAATAAAGATATTTTAAATCATAAATTGATTTATTAATAATGTTAATCTTAATCAAATAAATTATAAAAAATGTCTTTTGCAGTAAATACCAAAACAAAATATTGAAAGAAACATTCTAAATAAGTTGACTGTTCAAAACACACATACGTATAGATATAATACCATACACACATATACATCATACATACCTACGTATATAAATATATACTTCCTCCATTCTTTTTTAATTGCAACGGTCCACTTTTCACATTTGCTAACGCGTAAGTTTGACCATTAATATCTTTCATTCATTATTAGTAAAAAATTAAAAGAAATAGATTTTCAAAATTTTAAATGAGAAAATTTTAAAAATATTTTTTTAAAATTTAATTTGAAAAACATTATTAAATAAAATAGAGTCAAAGTAGAACACATGAATAGTGCAAAATGTCAAATGTTGCATTTAAAAGAGAATGGAGGTAGTATAAAATTATACACATGTACTTCGTAAGTATGGATCTTTTTTCATAAGTATTATGTAGTACTTTTTAAATAGTTTTCTATATCTATGCATTTTTTATTAAATGATTTTCAAATGCTAATACTCCAAACATATACTCCGTAGTAATTTTTTTAATAATTTATATTACGTGCATCGCACGGGTGAAAATCTAGTTATTAACAAGGGGTGTGCACACTTAAGGTAGAAGTTCAGCTTCCAACATGTGATCAGTGGGAGCCGGAATTCTTGGATGAATTGTAAATAACAACTCATTGGGCTCAAGGATTCTTACTCATTATATATTATCTTCAATTGTGTATCTATGTACGGAGTATGTCCCAATTATTGGATTAGTTTTTGAAGGCTCTGTTTGCTATGTGACAATTATTTGAGTTATAATATTTAAATATATGATATTTCAATCTATAGTTTGCACATGTACAAAATATATATTTTTCTCCAAATTATATTATTTTACGGGGTTAAATGCAATCTTACTTTTAGGAATCGATAAAAGAAAAAGTCAAACCATTCAATTTTGGTTCAATTTCATAACAGTTATTAAATTTTAGATATGAACCGAATTGATTTTATATGTTCAATTTTTACAACAATTTCACTAATTTCATTTAAGAACTCAACTCAACCGAGCCTAATAATATGTGCTCTGAATTCTTTCAAAAAAATATTTGCTCTCAACAAGACGACCAATAATAGCGAAATATGAATATTAATAAAGAAATTAGTCATAATAGGACTTAAACATGCTAAAAAAACTCATATTAGGACTTACCAAGTTTTCTCTTTTTAATAGGACTTATACGGTCCTATCTTACGTTTTACTACTTTAGGAAATATCCTAAATACCCCTATTCGAATTTGTGATATTATTAAGGAAGTTACCGGCCTTTTTCGGTTATCCAGTTTCAAACGGTTAAGGAGTTTCCTTTCTCTGAGTAGTTTCCTTGTTCAGGTTGAGTATCGCTATTAGTTTCCTAAGTTTGTTGGATATCATTCAACCTAACTAATCATTCGTTGTTTTTCCTGCATTCTTCTGCCATGGAATTCTCTTGGAGTACGACGTCATAGCTGCCTGTGTTTCGTTCTTTGCAGAGTACGTTTACTTCAAATTTAATGCTTTCATAATAACTTATTATGGCCGTGATTCTGTTTTCCTTCGTCAATTCTTCTTCAATCGTTGTTAAATTGAATTCGCAATTGCTTGTAATTTGGAACGACAATGTTTCAGTTGAATACATATACATATATGCATTTGTGTTCTGTTTTTTCCTTCCAGCTTTGTTTTTTTCTTCAATTTCATATTATCGAACCTTTCATCATATGATCGCTTTCAAATTCGTTATAATCAACAATTTATTTCGTATGTAGTTGTACTCTGTTTTATTTCATTAAATTTCATCGGTTAGTTTAGATATCAGTTTGTATCTACAATTTATTTTGTTTTTGTTAAATTCTCTATTCTTCTACCTAAATTATGCCCTTCGAACTGTCATTTAGTTTGTTCTACCTGTCATGTATATGCATTTTTTGATTTCTCCTTTTTATGTTCTGTAATTGTATATAATTGGTACACATCCTTATAAACTGTCATATTGTTAACACAACTGTCATAATTTTGTCCGAACTGTCATTTAGTTTGTCATACCTGTATATGCATTTATTGATTTCTCCTTTTTATGTTCTGTAATTGTATATAATTGGTACACATCCTTATAAACTGTCATATTGTTAACACAATTGTCATAATTTTGTCCGAACTGTCATTTAGTTTGTCCTACTTGTATATGCATTTTTTGATTTCTTCTTTTTATGTTCTGTCATTGCATGGTACACATCCTTATAAACTATCATATTGTTAAAAAAACTGTCATAATTTTGTCCGAACTGTCTTTTTCCTAGATTTTGTCATACTGAAATATTTCTTTTGCTGCATTTTTTAGGAACCTTTTTACCACAATGGATCCTATTTTACTTGTTATGGTCAAGGTTGACGGTTTTTGGGATTCTAACAACGTGTTCAACAATGTCCACACATGTGGCCTTCATGTTAACTATAATGTTCAATATGCTTCTTTTATTAACTCTTTGAGTGACATCCTTTCTCAATACAAAGCTAATCATAATTTCAGGCTTTCTTATATGCGAGATGGATTTCCTCCTCCTGTTACTATAAATGATCAATCTACCTTAACATTTTATCTTTATATCAAGTCTCTTCAACCAGATTTTTCATTGTATCCACTTTGTGTTGAGTTTTATCCTGTTTCATCTTCTCCTGCATTTTCTATTGATGTTGGACCATCTGCTTCTCCTTGGTCTGAAAATGTTGTCATTTCTTCACAGCAACATACCCCTTATGATGAGAATGTTGTTGTTTCTTCTTCCCATGCTTCACAACAACATACCACTTATGAGAATGTTTTTGTTTCTTCTGCCTAACAACATTCCTCCTCACATGCACTTTCTTTTGATGATGGCCCACCATTTGGTCAATATGAAAATGTTATGCTATCTGGGGTAAGTTGTGGCCAATCTGAAGATATTGTTTCTTGTAGTAACACTGTGTCTGCAACTGCAGAAAATGAATCATCTGAAGACAGTGATGACATGTCAGATGATATGTCAGATGGCCTTTTAACTAAATCATCTGACTCATTCTCATTTCTCCAAAATTTTGAAATCATCACACAGTCCCATCCTACTTGTCTTCTTCTCCATGCTATTTACAAAAATAAAAAAGAACTTATCCACCATCTGAAGATGTATGCTATCACAAACCACTTCCAATACAGAAGTAATTATAAGACATCGAAGAAAATATGTTTGCATGTTAGTTGCTTAGATCCAAAATGTTGTTGGAGTGTTCGAGCTGTAAAACTACATGGCGTAACAATGTTTCAAATCAGAAGGTAACTTCAATTTTCCTTCTTTAATTCACTTCATTGTAAATTCTGGTTTATAAGAATGTCATGTTGTGGTGACATTCTTATACAGGACTGTCAACTTCATATTATGTATTTGTATAATTATGTCATTTTTTCTTTTCAGATTCCGGCCAGTTCACACATGCTCTATTGATTACAGACAAGGCAAACATAGACAGGCATCTGCTAGTGTGATAGCAAATATTATTGCACACAAATACCTTGATGCTTCCTATAAACCATACCCCCCAAAGCAAATTCGTGAGGACATGAGTATGCAGTACGGAATTTCCATGTCATACAACAAAGCTTGGAAAGCACAGAAGAAAGCAATGCAACTGCAATTTGGTTCTGATCTTGAATCCTATCAGCTTTTGCCTTCAATGGCTTATGTGCTTGAGAAAACAAATCCTGGCTCTATGTTTAATCTAGTCACAGGGCAGGATGATGCATTTTCTACCTTTTTTATGTCATTGAAACCATGGATAGAAGCTTGGCCCTACTGCAGACCTGTTCTTATATTGGATGGTTCTTTCATGAAGGCTTACTATAAAGGCACTCTCCTTACAGCTTGTTGCCAAGATGCCAATGATCACATAGTTCCTATTGCATTTGGTATTTGTGGTTCTGAAACTAAAGCTTCTTGGAAATGGTTCTTATCCAAAGTTTGTCAATCAATAAAGTACAGACATGACCTGTACGTAGTATCTGATAGACATAAAGGGCTTATCAAGGCTGTTTCTGAACTCTTGCCACATGCTAGCCTCGGTTTTTGTGTTGCTCATCTTGGTCGTAACATAACATCAAAATTCAGAGGATCTGCAACTGGTTTGGGATGGAAGTTCAAAGTTGCCTATATGGCAGCAACTATGAAAGAATGTGATGACTACTTATCCATGTTGGATTCTGAAGACCCCAGGATAAGAACTTGGCTAGACAAATTAGGTGCTAACACATGGTCAAAAGTAATGTCTGGCCCAAAGAGATATAATATTATGACATCAAATTGTGCTGAGTCTATGAACAAAGTCAATGTCTGTGCAAGAGAGTATTCTGTGTCTAAACTTGTTGATTTCTTGCGTGAAAGGATGCAGCAATGGTTCACAGAGAGGAAAGATAAAGCTGAGAAAACAAGTACTATACTCACAAAGAAATGTGAGAAACGCCTGGTAGCTTTGCAAGCTGAATCCACACGTATGAAGGTATGTCAAAGCTTATTTTTTGACTTTGAATACCATTAGCCGGTTTTCATTTTTTCATCTCATTTTATAATTCCACTTTGTTTGTTAATATGTCATTTTGTCTTTATAAATTTGTCATTTTGTGTACTTCATATTCAAATAGTCTTACTAGCGTTTTTATTTATCATTTCTCTTGTACTTAATATTCATATATAAGTTGACATTTTATATACTTCATAGCCACATATTACTGCTATATTCTTTTGCTAATTCTCTTTTTTATCTACTTTCATATTCTTATTTTTTTTTATTTCACAGGTTAAACCATCATGTGCATATGAATTTGAAGTTGTTGACAGTAGATGCAAGTCCTTTGTGGTAAACCTCAACTCTAGAAGTTGTACATGCGGCCACTTTCAATTAGATCAATTTGTGTGTGTTCATGTTATGGCTGCAATCGGTATACGCCCACACCTTTCATGTTATACATACATATCTCCATATTACACAAGAGATGCTTGGCTTGCTACATGGTCTGGTATCATGCATCCTATTGCTGATCCTGACAGTTGGTCAATTCCTGCTACTATTCAAAACCAGAGATGCAAGCCACCAAGTTGTTTGAAGCGTCCTCCTGGTCGCCCTAAGAAATGCAGGATTCCATCCATTGGAGAATATAGAGGTTCAAAACGTCAAAAATATTCTAGATGCCATGTGCTTGGGCATAATAAGAAAACTTGTAGAAATCCAATTCCAATTAATACCCAGTGATGTAGATTTGCCCACTCATTTTATGTCATCTTCTGTTTTTTGTACTTTTAACAATTCTACTATGTGGTTTGGACTTGGTTATCATTTCCTTGAACGTTTAAGGTTTTGTGCTTTAGTCATTCTTGGCATTTAAGTGTTTATGACTTGTGCTTTATCCAAATGTTTTATCACAAATGTCATCTCAATAATGTAATGTCATTTTGTTTATGTATAAATGACATATGTCAAATTTGATGGCATTTTGTATTCCAAAAAATGTCATGTTACTTGTCACTTTGTTGTCATTTATTTACTGAATGTAAATGACATTCAATCCTAGTATCCATCTACATGTTACTATAAAAAATGCTCTAGATAAATTGGCCAAGGGGACGTACATCCCTTGAACAGATAGATTTCAAAGTTGATGTCATTTTGTTTTTTAAACACTGTCATCCAAATGTCATTTATCACGGATTTTCTTCGGTAACAATATGTGCTTACATATATAAGTACCCTGTAGAATGCATTAACACAAAGTCATCTTCAATGTAAAAATCAAACAGATTTTTTGAACGTAATTCAATAAAATGCATTGTCACAATGCATTGTCATAAAACATATTTCATACGTTTTGAATATAGAGGTTCAAAACGTCAAAAATGTTCTAGATGCCATGTCCTTGGGCATAATAAGAAAACTTGTAGAAATCTAATTCCAATTAATACCCAGTGATGTAGATTTGCCCACTCATTTTATGTTGTCTTCTGTTTTTTTGTACTTTTAACAATTCTACTATGTGATTTGGACTTGGTTTTCATTTCCTTGAACGTTTAAGGTTTTGTGCTTTAGCCATTCTTGGCATTTACGTGTTTATGACTTGTGCTTTATCCAAATGTTTTATCCCAAATGTCATCTCAATAATGTCATGTCATTTTGTTTATGTATGAATGACATATGTCAGATTTGATGGCATTTTGTATTCTAAAAAATGTCATGTTACTTGTCACTTTATTGTCATTTATTTACTGCATGTAAATGACATTCAATCCTAGTATCCATCTACATGTTACTATAAAAAATGCTCTAGATAAACTGGCCAAGGGGACGTACGTCCCTTGAACAGACAGATTTCAAAGTTGATGTCATTTTGTTTTCTAAAAACTGTCATCCAAATGTCATTTATCACGGATTTTCTTCAGTAACAATCCATGCTTACATAAATATAAGTACCCTGTAGAATGCATTAACACAAAGTCATCTTCAATGTAAAAATCAAACAGATTTTTTGAACGTAATTCAATAAAATGCATTGTCACAATGCATTGTCATAAAGCATATTTCATACATTCAAAACACAATGAAAGTTGCCTTAACCAAGTTTTTAAAAACGAATGTACTAGATGTCTAGATGTCCTGACATGATATTAAAAGTACTAGTAAATATAACAGTCTTCCAAAACAAACAGAATTGTTTCATCCTACAATCCCATTTCTTCATAGCTTCATTTCATTCTCTCTCACCCTGCCTCCTCTCGCTATATAGGACCAGTTCAGTTGCCATTTTTTCCCTAAACAAGGGTATTGCTTCAGGATATATGCCATCCATGTCCATCCCCACCATTAGAAATTCAGCCATCTTGAGCATGAACATTCCACAGTTTCCCCTGATGCATAACACAAAAAATTAAAAGAAATTTTTAAAATAAAAAAGTACACTATTATACAATCTGATTAAGCAAATTTATATCCTCTTACCCATCATCTTGCTGTGGACATCCTTCTACAGGCTCAACTTCCAAAAACCTTTCACCCATAGGATCCTCACCCATCTGTTCGTACACTTTGTGATAGCCCATTATTCTGGGCAGGAGGACTGTTATGCATGCAACATAGGACCTGATATCCCTTAGTGAATCACCTCTTCTAGCATTGGAGTTGTACACTCTTACCTTTCTTTGCTTGATATCTAGTACTACCAAAACCCAATGGTTGCCAGTATTCAGAGGGAAGTATACGAAGTCTGCTTTGCTCCAGTGTAGGCTATAGTTGTTCGCACCTATTATGTCACGAACAATGTTTTCTTCTTGCGCTGACTTGTGGTATGTATAGTGCCCCTTTCATATAGTGTCAAGCTCCCGCTTCAGTATTTGCAAGAAAAAAGGCCCAGTTGTGGTGTAGTTTTGTGGCAGTTTGTAATGCACCCGTTTCATGCCCAAATAGTACATTACTACCTCAACATGCTGTAAAAAATAAAACACACATTTATCAATTACAAACTAATTCAACTGACTTTTAGTGGCATTCTATACAAACAAACATACAAATAAATGTACACTTGGGAGTTAGACTGACAAAAATATAACATTTTTGAATTTACCTTGTCAGTGATCTATTCGTGATTCGTAAACATGTCATATAACCATGTTTTTTATTCAACTTTCATAGTGTCTAGCAAGAACGGTTTGTGAACCATTTTTTCTTCATCCACTTTGTACCTTCTGCCATTTTTGTTTTTTTGAAAATTCTTCAACAATCCAACTTGGAGGTATGCTCTCACCCTCTCTATTTCATGATCTGGTGGGCTCTCTGTTGGATCTTCTGTGAAAGGTCCAACTATTTCCTTCAGTGGAGGCAAAAATTCATTGTCAGCTCTTTTCTTACCCTTTTCTCTCTTCCTCCTCTTTGGCGAATGCTCAGATGGAATGTACTTCACTGGTGACCTAGCAAAACGCTTTTGTTTGGGAAGATCCGGCCTCTTGTTCCTGTGGCATTTCCATAATATATATTATTTATTATACTTTTCTATATTTATTGAAAATGTATTAATACACTTAATGTCATACTAAAAAATAATCATAAAAATATAAGCATTATAATCAATTTGTAAAATATTTTGTCATTCAAGTCAAGACAATATTACATAAAATGTTTTGAGATTCATAAAAATCATATATACAATGGTGATATGTACTACAGAAGTCACTAATTTGTCAGTTTCATAACTTCACATAAACTGTATGTCACATAACTTTACTAATTTGTCACTAATACTTCGAATGTCACTTTTATGTCAGTTTCATACCTTCCAAATGCTACTTGAATGTCATTTTATTTTATTTTAGTTACCTGATTAGGCTTCACTATGATTGATGTACATGGATTGGAAGAATAGCTCTCAAAAGCCTTTTTGGCCACTTCATCTGCAGTTTTGCAAATCTCTTTGACAAATTGACTATTGTCCTGTGACCCCATCCCCCAACAAGATTCAGCAGTTTTGTCCATCTCTTGAGACTGACTCAATATGTTAAACGTAGGCATGTCACAAACTACATCTTCATTGTGCTTGGTCTCTACAACATCTTTATCTAGAACAGCATCCTCATTTTTTGCACCACCATCCCCAATCTGTAAAATATCATCCTCAGTCTGTGCACCAATGTACTCAGTCTCCTCTTGCACATGAATGTCAGCAGTATCATCATCCTTTAGCCTAGGTTCCTCATCATTTTCGGAATCTTGCCCAGTCATGTCATCATCTTCTTTTTCATTAACATTTTCTTCTTTTTCTGGACTTTCATTATTTTCAACTTTCTCTGTTCTTTCTCTTGTGTCCTCATCTTCACCTTTATCACTGCCTTGTGACATCTGTTTGACAATAAGTAGAACTTCTTTTAAAAGATCTTCCTGTTTTTTGTGAGTTTACTTAATGTTTTTCATTTCTGCCACTAGCCTGGCAGTCTCCTTAGCTTGTTTCCTCATGCTTTTTTGCATACTGTTACTATGTTTGCTCATGAACACAATATATTTCTCTGCTTTTCTTCCACTATCACTTGAATCATCTTCTTCATCCTCACTCTCAGTGCCTTCATCACTCTTTGTTTCCTCATCACTTTCGAATTCCATCCTAATCTTCTTTCTTCTTTTAGAAGTTCCCTCACCAGATTTACCTTTGCCCTTCACTACTTTTCCTGTTTTCTTTTTCATGCTTCTGGTCTGTATTGCCTTTTTTTTGCCTTTTTCTGCAATAGCTTTCATCTTTTCAGCATCTAGTCTCCCCACATTTGGAATAACAATGTCCATTCCATGGCCACCTCTGTCATTGTTTCCTCCAATCATGGCAATCTCTTCTTCTGTTGGTACGATATGTGTTCACTCAAACTAAACAAGTACACTTTGTTAGTAAAAAAATTGTAACCTTATAATCTAGATATATTTAGACTATTAAAACTAATACCTTGTCATTCTTGAATATTATTTGGGAAAGCACCTCCAGTGTAGGTTTTTTCTTGAATTCCCACTTCAGTGTCCTTGGTAAGATGTTTTCTCTGCCCTTTATTAGCTTGCACAAACCAGCTTTTGAAAGTCCTGAGAATGTCTCAAATGACCACCATTGTAAAGCCACCATGTACCCAGGGAATGTAACTCTGTCCCCTTTGCCTTTATCTAATGCCTCACAACTTTGTTTTATTTTGTCAACCAACTCGTTCCAAACATCATCACCCCATGGGTAAGCATTGAATGCATCCAAATCGTTTACCAGGTTTATGTAGTATGCTTTCATAGGCCTTGCAGTTTGATTCCCAAACAAACAATGGGACAATATGTGTAGTAGAGCCAGCTTCACTCCATCCTTTGTCATTCTTCCTTCATCAGTGCTCTCATAACTCTTCAATGCATTTTGGATATCTGCACGGGACACTGTAGCCTTGTTCCCAAAATATCTTCTCCATATATCTCCCTCAGGCTCCTCTGAAATATTTGGCTTCAGACTCCCAAATTTTAAACCACACATTGTTGCCATATCAGCCTTTTGAAAACTGATTACACTGTTTTGAATATGAAATCTGATGACACTGTCATCTGCATTTCCATTAACTTCAGTGACATAGTTTCCAACAAATCCTAACAGTAGTTGTCCACTATTCCAAGACATATCTTCAATTTTTAACATCCAACCAAATATGGTGTTACTGAAATCAGTCAGTTCCTCAGTGCTAAGACATGTCCTTATTCTTTTAAGAACTTCAGCAACATTGCAGTAAGAATTGACACGCAAGTTTTCCAAGACCACTAACACTGACTTCTTAAAAGCTCTTGTTATTGTCTGTCAAGTTCACACAAATATAGGCATTATAATCAATTTGTAAAATATTTTGTCATTCAAGTCAAGACATTCATAAATAACATGGTAATATTAACTACTTAAGTCATTAGTTTGCCAGTTTCATACTTTCCCATAAATTGTGATAATTCTTGCAATTTCACTTTTCATTCAGAATGCCACCATATTCTTCTCTATTTTGCATTATGTTGTTTTATAACAACATGACACACTAAAAACTCACTAAAGTGTCATTTATGCGTCAGACTTTCAATTTCCAATTCAATGTAGTGTTAATTTCCGTTCAATCTAAGACATATTCATAAAATGTCACTATTTCATGCAAACTGTCATCACAGTAATGATACATACTTACAACCCCACTATATAACCACATATTAGTGGAATGTCACTTTTCATACAAAACGCCACCATATACTTCTTTATTTTGCACTATTCTGTTGTATAACAACATGACAAACTAAAAATGATCTGCTAAATTCTCACTAAACTGTCATTTATGCGTCAAATTCTGAAGTTCTAATTCAAACTAACGCATATTCATAAAGTATCACTAATTCACGCAAAATGTAACCATAGTCTTCATACACACTTAAAATGCCATCATATAACAACTTGATGCAATGAAATGTTATTAAAAATGTCATTTACTTTACTCTTAATCACATACAGTTCATGATTTGATATTTTTCGCGTCAAATGTAAAACCTATTTACATTCAAACGATTTAAACGTTCTAAACTCCTTTAACTGTCAAACTATTGTCAATTTCAAACATTCCTCTACGAAATTACTGCTTACTATTTCGGAGTTGATTCTGACGGAAACTTTATTTGACAAATCCATAGCTCTGTCCATCAACTCTACTCAACGATTCGACTCTCCACAAATTTGAGCATCGTCTAAGACGAAGGTTTACTACCTCTGTGCTTTGAAGTTTTGAATCGAAGTGCACTTTTGATCGTCGTCGAATGACAATCGCAGCACTCAACCGTTCTCCGGATACATGTTCATTTAATTTGGAATCTTTTTTTCGACGGCATGATGATAATGGATGCTTGGAAACCGGGAATAGCCGTAAGGAGAAAGAATTAATCGTCAATGAGGGAAGAGTACATGTGTATCAGTTTAATGAAGTCATTTTTGACAATTCAACGCATATTTGGTCCTATGCGAGTCAAGGGAAAAGTGGATGTCCTATTTTTGAAATTTTGATAAGTAATAGTCCTATTTTGTAAAATTTCTCATATTAATAGCTATGTTTTGTTAATTCATGCATAATAACATATGATTAAGTTCCTTTCGTCTTTCCACTCACACGTATATACTAAAAATAATAATGTAATATATAGTTGCACAAATAACCCACCTCCACTTCCAGAAACTAACTAACTATATTTTCTTTCCATTTTCTTCATAATGGTAACTTTACATTGTTATGAACCCCAACAAAGTATTCCCCACTCTATATGTTATAGGCCGAAAATATATTCTTATCACTTCCACAACTTGACTGTATTGCCGCCGCTTGCCACAGAGGCTACTAAACCAGTGAAGGAAGATACTGCCAATGTGGAGATAGGCCCCTCAACCATTGTCAGCATCTTGTTCTCTGCCATGTTCCACAGCTCCAGGCACTGAAACCAACATGTAAAGTAGAAGGGCTTACTACTGCATAAGCGCGGCTTTGCTTTAAATGTAATTACTGAAAATGGAGGGAGCAAAGAATAAATGGGCAGCCTCTTACCTGCTGGGAACCGACGACCAGCACAGAAGGCTGTGTTGGATGAAAGGTGCACGTACGGAATCTTTTCCCGGTTATGCTTAACTCGTGCACGCACTTCTGGTCTCCCCCACAGCCAACTTTCCACACTCTAACAATGTCCTCACTCAAAGATGCTATATACTCCCCTGAAGAGCTCCAACATACAGACTGCACATTTGATGCATGCCCCTGCAATTTATTATTATTAAATGTTTAAGAATCATTATTACTTCGCAAGCACAAGATTGATGTATGAAAAGAAATACTCCGTATCACGTACTCATATTTTAAAAAAGTGATAAATTGCCTTTGACTGACCTTTAAAGGATATCTGCTGCAGGTTTGAGTGGTCTCAACATCTATCAAGGATACACCATTCCCTACAGCAGCAGCAAGAAACCTTCCTCTAGTAGGTTGGAACCTCACTTGGGCTGCAGCAACCTGAGATTTTGCATTACAGAATTTATTCATTAAAAATGAACAAGTAAAGAATAAAATATCAGCACATATTGAATGTATGTGTGTATGTATGGAGAACTTATATCTCATCAGTCTGCCTGACGAGAACCCGCCGTGCAGCCAAGCAATTTGAGGTGTTTCCGGGTGGATTTTTTTAAGACATTTTGTGAGCATGTTCTTCATGAAGTGTAGATTATGTTCACAAAATTTCAGCTCAAAATTCAATCGTGAAGTTAGTTAAATAAATTATTGAAAAACACTGCACAGATAAAGTGAAACTGATACTAGTATATATCTTGGTGCAGTGTTTTTCAATAATTTATTTAACTAGCTTCCCGATTGAATTTTGAGCTGAAATTTGGTGGACATAATCTAAACTTTATGAAGAACACGCTCACAAAATTTCATCAAAAAATTCCACACAGAAGCACCTGAAATTGTCTTGGCTGCGCAGCAGGTTCTGGTCTGGCGGACTGATGAGTTTATTACCTTAGAAACTCCCGCACAACCACCATTCTTAATGGTCCAATACCGTATCGCACTAACATCGTCGCTAGAGCAGATAAGGTCCTCCTTGTTTGGGTGAAAGTCCACTGAAACAACAGAGGCAGAATGCCCAGTAAAGGTTCGCAGTGACTGACCTGGCTAATTATCATCAACAATAATAATGGTTTTGAAATACTTATTATGAATAATAGAACTGACAATCATTGCAAGTAAGCTGTTTCACTTACGTTATGTATGTCCCAAATTTTAACCATCCGGTCCAGGGAACATGAAGCAAGCCGTGGCCGTCTTGGACTAAAACGAACATCTGTGATTTTGTCTGAGTGCTCTCCAAGTGTACACTTTTGCTCTTTAGAATCTGTGCACCATAACACAACCTATAACATAGAATTGTCCGTGAAACATTTTTAACCACTTTTGAACAGGCTTTTAACTACATATAAAAACTGTTGTTAGTTATTAGATACCTTATTACCGTCTCCACCAGTTGCAATAAGTTTACCCTCGCATGAGAAATCACAGCAGTTAACTTCATTAGATTCAATGCTTCCAAGTTCTGAGAATGGAACATCTAAGCATTGAGTAATCGCATCTTCAGTGCCGCACACATTTTTATCAAGGAAAGAATCCACATTGTCATCCATAGATCCATGACTTATAAAACGGACAATGTCTGCCTGAAAATCATCATATACCTTAATATAAAAAACTAAACATTCATTGAAAAGAGAAAAGGATATAAAAAAATTAAAGTATGCAGAAATATAGTAATTTCTCACCATCTGACTTGATGCATTTGTGTCAGCACCACTGCTGCAAAATATCTGCGACTTGCTATCATCTCGAAGCAGTAAAGGTACTGATGATATCACATCTTCCATTGTATGGGTTGAAGGGGAAGAGGGTGACGTGCTTTGTGATGGCCGAATGGTGGTATTTGCTGTACCAGAGCTGTTTGTTGGATTTGAGGACAATGGTTGCTTTCTTTTTCTTAGAGCCGCAATCTAAAACAAAGCAGATAACAGAAGTTCAAACTAGATCAGGAGACCAGCTTTTAAGAACATCAGTTTGCATGCTAGAGAAAATAACTTTGTTGGTATAATAAACATTATGGCAATGTTTGCAACACGCAAATGCTAGGGGAAGAAAACAGGGAGGAAGATATAGGAGAAATTCGGATGGGAATAATATGTTGAGGAAATAGAGGAATTCAATACATTGGTTTGAAATCGAATAATTTACTTCAATATTTGTTCAGTTTCATTCTTATTTATGTATTTCAAATCTAAACAAAAAGAATAAACCCTTAATCATGTTTCTTTTTCTTTTATATTTTCTTTTCCGGGTTCCGAACTATTTTCATTCCTTTCCGTTACATTTCCCCGGATCCAAACATAGCCTAAATGACATGAAATTTGGTTTGGGCTACACTCAAGTCCTTACGGGTCCACTTGGAATCCAGGAAATAATTCAGAATAGAACATACAAAGGAAAACATAGAGGAAAAATATTAGAAGGGAGGAAAATGTGGAAGTAATGAAAAGATAAGCTACAATCCAATAAATTTAATTTATATACTCATTTAAAACCATTTTATACGTTTTAATGTTTTATGCCAATCATATAAAGACTAAGAAATCCAAATATATGTGAAAAATGAAAAGAAAATTAATAATACACCGTTTCAATGGATTTTCCAAGGTAAAATCAGACATAAGAAAATACAGAGTAACTTTCTTTATCATTTTCCCTTTCCCTAGTAGTTTTTTGGGTCAAAACATACCCTATGTCAGTAGAGGCACGGTAAAAAAGAAGTAATCAATATGGGATTTCTGCAGTTAAGTACTAAAGTCTAATAGAATAATAGAAATTATTTGCTGCCATCACTGGCAAGTGGCAACCTAAGGTTTGAAACTCTTCGTTTTTTGTATCACATGACTACCATACCCCCTCCCCCAACAACCATACAGACAAAATAAAGATTTATTTACGAGAAGACAAGAGAATACAAGAATCATAAACAATTGTCATATGTTCTCTAATACAGAGCAGATAAAGAAACTGCAAACCTGATCATTGTCTCTAGAAGTATTTGAAAAGGTGGCATCCATGGCACTGTTGCTTGCAGTAATCGTGTTGTCTTGTTGTGCAATTTTATAGCTTGAGGTTTCTGGGTATTGACCAAGTACAGTTGGCCTTTGACATTGCTGCTGTCTTTGGTTGGCCTTTGCCAATTCAGACTGATAGAGCTAGTAAAATTCCCAAAACAATAGATTGGCATTGAACCATTAGTATCTTGTAAATGAAAATGAGTCGCACCAGCACTATACAATAAGAAATACAAAAAGGTATACCTTGATTAGTGTATCATCCGCATGAGAGAAAAGTGGGAGGCCTGCTTGAACCGGCGAATTCGAATCAGGAACCAAATTAGACAAAAAATGTGGTTGCATGACTTTCCTAACATCCATATACTGAGAACCAAGAAGGCTTTGAATTTGCTGTTGCAGATGAAGTTGTTGGGAGGGCTGAGAAGGATTAAGCAAAGGGTTTTGCTGCTGAAGATGTCCAGGTTGAAGCCGTTCAAATCCCTGATTATTCAAAAACAATAGTCAACATGTACTCAAACAAGTTCTCAATCATGGTCAAACAGTCATGTTCATTAACAAGCCCAAAACCATAAATGGAGAATATATTTTCATTATACTACTTCGTTCTAATTTTTCCATCATTTGCAATGGAGCCAAAGATTTATTATTTTTTGGCTTGAGATTATGATGGAATAAAGCAAAATGGCTCACTAAACTGTCTGTGCTACTTTGTTATGAAGCAGCATTCAGTCCATGCAATTTTGGACGCAATTTTCACTATGGGTCATCCGGAAACAGTCTCTTTGTGCTTTAGTATAGGGGTAAGACTACGTACATCCGACCCCCCCTTACCCCACCGTAGGTGGGAGCCTTTGCGGCACTGGAGTAAATGAAAATGAAATGACTACTTCGTTCTAATGTCGGAAGGTTATTCCATTAAAATATTTAAATCATATTGATGCATACTGATGTGCTGGTGTTGAAGCAAAATGCAATCATGTTCATTGACAAGCCCAAAACCATAGATGGAGAATACATTTTCATTATAGTACTTGTTCTAACATTGGAAGGTTTATTCCAATAAAACACTAAATTGATATCCATGCATATTGATGTGCAGGTGTTGTAAGAAAATGGAACCAGTGATGTCACGAGGAGAAAAAAAATCTTTTATCAATTAATCCTCTAACACAATAATCATCAGCTCTCTATGACATATAGTAAACAAATGAAGTTTTTTAAATGAAAGCATACCATACCACGATTGAAGCATACCATATACCATAGACTTTAAGAAAGAGAAACCTAACTGCTTTCAAATGTTTGACTCAGCAAAATAACATCAGAATAAAGAATATGTGTTCACATAAACAAATAAGGTTTGATGCATCAATAGAACAAAACCCTTACCCCACCGTAGGTGGGAGCCTTTGCGGCGCTGGGGTAATGATGATGATGATGCATCAATAGAACAAAAGACATCATCATTTCTATGAAACATGTTTAACAGTATTCATCATGGAGCGAAAGACACAACTCACCGTCAGAGGCCAACCCTTCAAAGGCATATTACTCGCTCCATGATTTGATCCTGAATCACAGTATGTGTGAGTTAGCAATTATTAATAGACAGTAACTAGTACTCCATCCATCCCAAAATAAACATTCCAGATTTCTTTAAGGGGAGTTTAAGGGTTTTCCCAAAAGAAACTTCCCATTTCCTTTTAATAAAGAGTTGTTTAGTTAATATTGTTTCATTAATTTCTAAAAAAATCTAAACCAGAACTTTAAGTTCTTAATCAACGTGTCAAAAGTAAATTTGAAGCTTACTATGGGAAGGAAGGAGTATATGTGTGTGCTTCAGCACATACTATTGCCCCAAAGGTAGAATAGAAGTCACATGTGAGTTGATGATACCATAAAGTTGAGTCAAAGATGCATCCGGGAAAGCAGACTTTAGGTTTGCTAAGGGATTCAATGTATTCATTGGGCCCTGCCATAGCATGAAACAGACATTCAAGTATTACTACTGCTCCCATTTAGCCCCCCTAATGTTTTATATAGACAAGTTGTTCACTTACATGGGAAACATGATGCAGCTGAGGTTGATCCTTCGTTTCAGGAAAAGATCTTAAATTGCCAACAGGACTTCCGTGACTAAATGAAGCATACAGTTATTAGTGGGTCAAGGCAGAAAAGGGACAAAGAGTTAGTCCAGACTATCGATAAAAGTATAAATACCGTGGATGTTGGTCTCCACATGTTCGTGAAGTTAACATTGATGTATAACTATGATTAAAAGGCTGACCAGCATTAATACCATCACTAGACTGCATGGGCCTCTTCAAGAAAAAATAATAGCATATAACTGTATAAGCCATGTCGAACAAGAATAGCAGTCATTATCGAAGCTCTGAGTCATGTTCTTCACTAACCTTCCTATTTGGCCCAGGCAAAGAGCTTCTACTTCTGGTTAGTGCATTCATGGCCACACAGCTAGGTCTTGAATGAGTTTCAATGGAAGTGGCACATCCTAATCGCTTCTCTTCTCGTTGTCTCTGTAATTGTTGTTCAACGTGTTTCTGCAGGATCTGTTGTTGTAGTTGACACTGCTGCTGCTCATCACTTTGGTGTTGTTGCTGTTGTTCCTGTGATTTTGATATTACAATCTGCAAAACTCAAATATAGAAGAACTTAGCATGCAAATATAAAATCTATTTATAAATGAAGCTAGTATTTTAAAAATGCCTAGCCAAACTGTGCCTATCCTGCCACATAAGGGCCTCGCCTCACACTTAAGAATATTGATTGAAGCATGGCGTGAATTATCTTAAAACAGAAAATATAAATTTAATGAAATATCATTGTATATACTCCCTCTGTCTCACAAAACTTGGTAAAATTTCCTTATTTAGTTATCCCTAAAACCTCTCATTTTCTTTTAAAGAAATAAATTTGTGGTTAATGTTATTTCTTTCTCCCCTGCACAAATTTCAAACAAACAATTTTTTACTTCTTATTCCGTGTGCAAATCTACTTTGGACTGGAACAGAGGGAGTATATAATAGCAGCAAGATAAAAATACCTCATTGCGAGATCCTGGAGGGCATCTAAACCTAGCAACAAATATCTCCCAAAAGATTGACCACCATTCTAAAAGAAATCCTCCTGGAGTATCAATTGCTAAGAAGAGTAACATTAAGTCTATTAGTTAAACAGAATTTAAACTGAGCAGAAACAATATAACAATTGTGTACTTTGAACAACTTAAAAACGACTTGACTGGTTATTGAGCCTATGGAATTTTACTCAAAACTTCTCCCCAATTTCTCGTACCTGTTCGGTTAGTGGGTACTTCTGCTTCAGCATGAAATTCCCTGGCAGACACAGTCATCTTCCTCTTGATGAGATAATCATATATATACACATCTAACCTTTTACACCATACAGCAAGGGAATCAAGGTCACACACTGAAATTATAATCCCCCATCGTAATATTATTAAGCTGCTAATTATTATAAACTAAGTTACTCCATGCATAACAAAATTAGAGAAAATGCCCATCTCACTTAAGGTGAACTAAATGCCCGTTTCACTTTGATAAAGATAAATCACAAATTAAAGAAACAAAAATGAAAATAATAAATAATATCACCATCCAAAAAGAGAAGAAAAAAACACCTCACGCCCCACGTCAAGAACTCAAAACACTCAACAAAAGATAAAACTTGAGTAGGGCCCAGATTTTTCGCTCAAATCCCTCTTGGTAACCATGGGAACATCCATCCATAGACCATATTCAACGAGAACAGCCAAGCTCATACATACGACAAAAGAAAAAAGCCCAAAAAGTCTCGACTTTCAAAAATATGATATTCAGAACTTAAAAGTAAAAGAATGCGGTTGCCGAAGGGAACAAAAAAACCCGCAAAAGAAACGAATGGGCACTTGTACCGTTTAGCAAAGCAGAAACGCCAACCCCAACCCCAAACCAAATGATAAATATTTTGGGACAACATAAAGAAAAAGCAATACTGGGTAATAAAATAGATTCCAAAAAAACAGGGAAAAAGAAAAGAAAATTTCACATTTTATCTGCTTCCATGTTGGGATTAGTCATGGCGTGTCCTACTGTCGCCACTCTTGAAGAGTACAGCGCCTCAAAAACCGTGAAGAAGATGAAGAAGAATGTCAGCCAAGAAACGCATTCAGGTAGGTTCCAAGAAACATTTGTTTAAAAACAACATTTGTTTAAGCTTTGAAAGCTGTTTCAGAGGACAATTAAACTTTTACAGGCCTTCTGAATACTTATTGCGTCGCGACAAAATATGCATACACCGTATTGTACGGTATGCTCCCTACATATACGTATAATAAAGAGAAATTAGCCATAATAGGACTTAAACATGCTAAAAAAACTCATATTAGGACTTACCAAGTTTTCTCTCGTTGATAGGACTTATACGGTCCTATCTTACGTTTTACTACTTTAGGAAATATCTTAAATACCCCTGTTCGAAGTTCGCTTGAGATTGTTTACACGCACGTAAAATTTACCGGCCTTTTTCGGTTATCCAGTTTCAAGCGGTTAAGGAGTTTCCGTTTACTTGTTGGTTGAGTAGTTTCCTTATCCGAGTAGTTTCCTTGTTCGTCAATTCTGCATCTTTTTCCTGCATTCGTCAATTCTGAGTACGAGGTCATAGCTGCTTGTGTTTCGTTCTTTGTAGGGTATGTTTACTTCAAATTTAAAGCTTTCATAATACTGGCCGTGATTCTGTTTTCGTTCGTCAATTCTTCTTCAATCGTTGTTACATTGAAGAATAAATTTGTTATATTTGATATACGATCGCTTTTTCCTGCATTCTTTTTCCTGCATTCGTCAATCCTTCTGTTTTTTCCTTCCAGTTCTGTTTTTTTCTTCAATTTCATATTATCGATCCTTTCATCATATGATCGCTTTCAAATTCGTTATAATCAACAATTTATTTCGTATGTCGTTGTACTCTGTTTTATTTCATTAAATTTCATCCGCTAGTTTAGATATCAGTTTGTATCTACAATTTATTTTGTTTTTGTTAAATTCTCTATTCGTCTACCTAAATTATGCCCTTCGAACTGTCATTTAGTTTGTTCGAACTGTCATGTATATGCATTTTTTGATTACTCCTTTTTATGTTCTGTAATTGTATATAATTGGTACACATTCTTATAAACTGTCATATTGTTAACACAACTGTCATAATTTTGTCCAAACTGTCATTTAGTTTGTGCTACGTTCCTACCTGTATATGCATTTTTTGATTTCGTCTTTTTATGTTCTGTCATTCAATGGTACACATCCTTATAAACTGTCATATTGTTAACAAAACTGTCATTATTTTATCCGAACTGTCTTTTTTCATACTGAAATATTTCTTTTGCTGCATTTTTTTAGGAACCTTTTTACCACAATGGATCCTATTTTACTTGTTATGGTCAAGGTTGACGGTTTTTGGGATTCTAACAATGTGTTCAACAATGTCCACACATGTGACCTTCATGTTAACTATAATGTTCAATATGCTTCTTTTATTAACTCTTTGAGTGACATCCTTTCTCAGTACAAAGCTAATCATAATTTCAGGCTTTCTTATATGCGAGATGGATTTCCTCCTCCTCTTACTATAAATGATCAATCTACCTTAACATTTTATCTTTATATCAAGTCTCTTCAACCAGATTTTTCATTGTATCCACTTTGTGTTGAGTTTTATCATGTTTCATCTTCTCCTGCATTTTCTATTGATGTTGGACCATCTGTTTCTCCTTGGTTTGAAAATGTTGTCATTTCTTCACAACAACATACCCCTTATGATGAGAATGTTGTTGTTTCTTCTTCCCATTCTTCACAACAACATACCACTTATGAGAATGTTGTTGTTTCTTCTGCCCAACAACATTCCTCCTCACCTACACTTTCTTTTGATGATGGCCCACCATTTGGTCAATATGAAAATGTTATGCTATCTGGGGTAAGTTGTGGCCAATCCGAATATATTGTTTCTTGTGGTAACACTGTGTCTGCAACTGTAGAAAATGAATCATCTGAAGACAGTGATGACATGTCAGATGATATGTCAGATGGCCTTTTAACTAAATCATCTGACTCATTCTCATTTCTCCAAAATTTTGAAATCATCACACAGTCCCATCCTACTTGTCTTCTTCTCCATGCTATTTACAAAACTAAAAAAGAACTTATCCACCATCTGAAGATGTATGCTATCACAAACCACTTCCAATACAGAACTAAGACATCGAAGAAAATATGTTTGCATGTTATTTGCTTAGATCCAAAATGTTGTTGGAGTGTTCGAGCTGTAAAACTACATGGCGTAACAATGTTTCAAATCAGAAGGTAACTTCAATTTTCCTTCTTTAATTCACTTCATTGTAAATTCTGGTTTATAAGAATGTCATGTTGTGTTGCCATTCTTATACAGGACTGTCAACTTCATATTATGTATTTGTACACTAATGTCATTTTCCTTTTCAGATTCCGGCCAGTTCACACATGCTCTATTGATTACAGACAAGGCAAACATAGACAGGCATCTGCTAGTGTGATAGCAAATATTATTGCACACAAATACCTTGATGCTTCCAATAAACCATACCCCCAAAGCAAATTCGTGAGGACATGAGTATGCAGTATGGAATTTCCATGTCATACAACAAAGCTTGGAAAGCACAGAAGAAAGCAATGCAGCTGCAATTTGGTTCTGATCTTGAATCCTATCAGCTTTTGCCTTCAATGGCTTATGTGCTTGAGAAAACAAATCCTGGCTCTATGTTTAATCTAGTCACAGGGAAGGATGATGCATTTTCTACCTTTTTTATGTCATTGAAACCATGGATAGAAGCTTGGCCCTACTGCAGACCTGTTCTTATATTGGATGGTTCTTTCATGAAGGCTTACTATAAAGGCACTCTCCTTACAGCTTGTTGCCAAGATGCCAATGATCACATAGTTCCTATTGCATTTGGTATTTGTGGTTCTGAAACTAAAGCTTCTTGGAAATGGTTCTTATCCAAATTTTGTCAATCAATAAAGTACAGACATGACCTGTACGTAGTATAACCTAATTAATGGTATTAATTACACTATTACACCCCCTCAAGTTGTGCAGGGGAAACAATGCGCTGATTATTTCTAAGAAAAATAAAACGCTGTGGAGACAAACATTTTGTAAAAATATCTGCTAACTGAAACTGTGTAGGGACATAGCGAACAACCAGATCTCAATGTGAAACTCTCTCACGAACAAAATGATAATCAATGCTGATGTGCTTGCTCCAAACATGTTGAATAGGATTTGTGGATAAGTAGGAGACAGAAACATTATCACACAATAACTTAACTGGTTGGCGAATGAGAATGCCCAATTCGAACAAGATGGAGTGAATATGAATAGTGTCCTGAACCGTGTAAGCAATAGCCCGATATTTAGCTTCTGTGGAAGAGCGGGAGACATGGGCTGCTTTTTGGACTTCCATGAGACTAAATTAGGGCCAAAAAATAGCAAAGTCTGAAGTAGACCGACTACTAGCAGGACAAACAGCCCAGTCAACATCAGAATAAGCTTGTAAGATAGGAGAAGAAGTGCTCGGGTGAGGAAGCAAGTCGTGATCTGGAGAACCGTGAACATACCTGAAAATACGCTTAACAGCCAATAAATGAAAAGTATGGGGCGCATGCATAAACTGAGAAACCAGATGAATAACAATTGTAATATCAGGTCGAGTCGTGGTCAAATACTGTAAAACATCTACCATACTTTTATACTCAGTAGGATCTGCAAGGAGATCACCATCAGTGAGAGACATCTTAGTTCGTGTAGGAAGTGGAGTACGAACAGGCTTAAGAGTGTGGAGATGAAACCTGATTAACGGACCAGACACATATTTTTGTTGAGATAAAAACAACCCTGAGGACTTTCGAACAACCTGGACACCTAGGAAAAAGTGTAGATCCCCCAAATCCTTCATGGCAAAGCAGCGGCCAAGACAAGAAATAAATGTGGAAATGTGGGAAGGGAAATTACCAGTAATAATAATGTCATCCACATATAAATAGAGATAAAGAATAGAAGACTCATGGCGGTAAATAAACAAGGGATTATAAGACTTACTAAACAAAACCATGAGTCAACAAAAAACTACTAAACCGATAAAACCAAGCTCTTGCATCTTGTTTGAGACCATAAATAGCCTTCTCGAGTCGACAAACACGATTAGGAAATTGTGGATGAGTAAAACCAAGAGGCTGATGCATATAAACTTCTTCAGTCAGATTGCCATGAAGAAAAGCATTTTTGACATCTAACTGACGATTGTCCAACGAAACGAAACAGCCGAAGACAAAATAGTACCGAACAGTGGTGAGTTTAACAACAGGACTAAAAGACTCAGAAAAATCCACACCAGCTTGTTGAGTAAATCCCTGTGCAACTAGTCGGGCCTTATAACATTCAACTGACCCATCAGAATTAAATTTGGTTTTATAAATCTATTTAGATCCGACCACATTTTTATGAGCATTAAATGAAACTAAATCCCAAGTATGATTATCAATAAGTGCAGTAAACTCCTCTGCCATAACAACTCTCCATTTAGCATCTTTATTTGCCACAGAAAAATAAGAAGGATCACATGCTGAAATGTCTGTTTTGAGATTAAAAATAGTTTTGGGTTTAAAAATTCCCGATTTAACATGGGTTTGCATAGGATGACAATTAACATGGGAAGGTGCAGGTGGGGATGGCGATCCAACCCGCACGGGTAGCTCAGTTGGTTCAGTGGTGGGAAATTTGGACCAAGTGATCAAGGTTCGAAACCCACAGCGGCCGTGTGGAGGTCACAGAACCTGAAATAAAGATGGGCCTCTGGTGCGCACGGGAAAAAGGCCTACCATCATTGGGCCGACTGAGTCACCGTGATTAACATCCTCCCAAAAATCCTATCGGGTCGGGGTATGGGGGGCTCCTGGGGTGGGAGATTCCACCTTTTGGACCAAGGGGATGGCGATCCGGTCGAGCTGATGGGAGGGGAGCTGATGTCTGATGAGGAGGATGGCGAGGCCGTGGGTGAGATGTGTCTGGTGGCGGCAGTGAGTGTGGAGTAGTTGGGAGTGGATTGGTCGGACTGTGATGGTGGTGGGGACATAGCCGGCTGGTCGGGGGAGATGGCTGCAGCCGAAGGATTGCCGCAGCCCATCGGGGACGAAGGGAGGACCGACTGCCGTCTGAAAAAGTGAAGGAGTAGCGGCAGCAGTGGTATGGTTCTCATGCATGCTGATAGTGTTGACAGGAGACATTGTGGGTAAGTCTAGGATCGGTGGAGAAGAAGTTAAGTCGGAATAAGGAAAATGATTTTCATGAGAATGCACATTCCAATTTATGTAAATCTTGCCAGTAAGAGGATCAAGATAACGATAACCTTTGTATTCAGAGGCATAAACTAAAAAGACACATAAAATGGATCTAGGAGAGAGTTTGTTGGGAGAAGTGGCATTAAAATCTGGAAAACAAGCACAACCAAACACACGCATGAACGAGAAGTCAGGAGAATGGTGAAATAATTTTTCAAAGGGAGAAGCGCCATTTAAATATGGAGTAGGAAACCTATTAATAATAAAAGTAGCGGTAAACACAACATCTATCCAGAATTTAGTTGGCAGTTTTGCTTCAAAGATCATAATGTGAGTTAATTCAAGTAAATGTCTATATTTGCGCTTAGCCACTCCATTATGTTCAGGAGTATCGGGGCAAGACTTGTGAAATAAAATACCATTTTTGGTAAAAATATCACGCATTCCATAATTTTAGATTCAAGTAAATTTTCCACCATTAATTTAAAATGTTGAAAATGTCTCACCACTTCACTTTTATTACGCATAGGATAGAGCCAAGTAAAATGAGAGAAATCATCAATAAATAAAACATAATATTTAAAGCCACTGCCAGAGAGAACAGGAGACTGTCAAACATCATAATGAATTAAAAATAAATTAAAGGAGCAGTAGATTTATGTCACACTTCTTGAAAAAGTAATCGTTGTGATTTTCCTAACCGACAAGAAATACAATCATGGAAAAAAATAGAAGTACGTAGAATAGTTCCATACTTTTTTTATTTATCTAAAATATGACTGCTACGATGTCCCAAACGACGATGTCAGGCCGGTCTGGGAGCAACACGAGAGCTGAGAGCTACTCGTGAAGGAGGAGTAAGGGAAATAAGATAAACACCACAATTACTGGAAGCTTGGGGGAGCACCTTCGCCGAAATTGTGTCCTTAACACACAGAATTTTTATCAAAAATCACAAAACAGTTATTATCGGCACATAAGCGTTGGATGGAGAGTAAATTATATTTAAGATCAGGCACATGATAAACAAATTTTAAATGGAGAGGTCGAGGCATAGTAGATAAATGCAAATCGCCAACAGTCATAACAGGGAGATTAGAGTCATTAGCAACATTGATTTGCTCCCTAGGGTTTTCGGGACAAGCATGAAGCTTACCCGTCACCTTAGTTAATGATGTGGATGCTTGATTAGCAATTTGATTCTCAAGCATCCTGTTGTGAGCTCGGAGTTGACCAAGTCCTTCAGTGATTTGTTTTAGTGTTTCGGCTTGAGATAATTGTGACTTGAGAAGTTAATCAGCAATGTTTTCTAGGACAGGAGTTTGGGCTGTTTCAGGAGTTGGTAGAAGTGGCTTTTGTTGTTGATTTGAAGCGTATGGAAGATTTTGAGTAGGTTTATATTGTTGTTGGTTCACAATACATTGGCCACCTCTGAATTGCGGTTGTTGATTTTGGAAACCAGGTGGTGCACTTCGGTAAGGTTGTTATGCATTAGCAGCTCCATTTTGATTGCTCCAGGAAAAACCAGGATGGTTTCTACCTTGAGGATTGAAATTGCAAAATTGATTTTGTTGGGGCTGCCTGTTGTAGTTGACATAGCCAACTTGTTCCATTGCTTCCCATGGACAAGTGGACTGATTGTGTTGTCCACCGCAAGATTCACACACAAGAAGGGGAATGGAAGATGGAGTTGATGCAGAGTTTTGCACAAGAGAGACTTGTGATATCTTCTAAATTAGATTCATCATGTTATCAACCTTTGTGTTTATGGCCGATATTTGATCAACTTCATACATGCCTCCGATTTTTTGTGGAGCAGATGATCGCTCTGAACACCATGTTGATCCATTTGATGAAATACGTTCCATCAATTCTTGTGCCTCTTCAAGTTCCAGGCACACGAATGATCCATTTGCTGATGCGTCCACGAGTATCTGAGAATTTTCGTGTAGGTCTTCATAGAAAGCCGTCATCAAGTGCCAGTTTTGGATGTTATGATGTGGACACTGTCGCTGAATATCTTTGAATCTTTCAATTCCCAAGCCTCATAGAGGGGCTCATTGGGGTTTTGTTTGAAATTTTGAATCATTCTCCAGATTTTCGCCATTTTAGATGTCGGGAAAAATCTTTTGAGAAATTCACCATGAAGTTGATCCCAAGTGGAGAAGTGATTGTCCGGAAAAGAGTCAAGCCAACTCTGAGCTCGACCCCGAAGAGAGAATGGAAACCAGCGTAGTCTGACAGCATCAGTTGCAACACCTTTGATTTTGAAGGTGTGGCAAGCTCGAAGGAACTTTGTGATGTGATTGTTTGGATCCTCCGTGGGCGCTCCGCCAAATTGAGCATTTGAAACCATGTGAATGATAACAGGCTTGATTTCAAAGTGATTCATGTTAACCTCCGGTAGAATAACACTGTCATGCTCATCCACAGGAGGTGTAACATAATCACACAATGGTCTCCTATTCCTCGTAACCTGATCCACACTTTGTTGATCATGTACCTGCTCATTAACAACATCATCGTTTGACATTATTTTTATTTTTTTCTGTTCACGTATGTGCTTTTCAATGTTATAGAAGAATAACAATTCACAATTCGCACCACGTGAACGTGTGAGCATAAGCAGAAGGGAACTGGGATTGGGAAAAGAGAGAGAGATGATAAGAGAGAGAAAAATGCGGAATTAATTAATTAATTAAGGTTCGCACGTAGTCAATTGGTATAAACT